AAACGGAATCGAAAATAAAAGAAAAAGTTCGTATAATGGAAGAATTTCTACATCTATTAATAATTATTGTTGGTCAACGACATGAACCAGGTGTTGGAAAAATAACACGTGAAGAAAACTTAACACGTGAAGTTATACATCAATTATGTATATCACCAATGGCACATTCAGAATTAATACGAGGTTTACAAGATTGTGGACAATTAGAATTAGTTTCGTATAATTATTTTTATTTAAAATCAATTTTAAAAAAAAACTTTATTTCTTTTTCTTGTCTAGGGATCAGGAGATTTCGAAGCTGTATTAAAAGAAGTTGCTGATTTTAAGTAAATTAAAATTTTGTAAAAATCAAATAAGAATTTTTTATGAATAATAATATTATTTTATAGGAGAGGTAATGCAACAAAAGGAAATTATGAATTAAAAGCAAATCGACTTTCGGAATACAATCAATTTTATTATCATTATTCAAAAGCTGATCAATGCAAAGTAAGTTCAAAGAAGTATCAATCATCTTGCTTACCAACAGTTGAATATCGCTTAAAAAAGGGGCTTGAACTCTCTCTAGAACCGTTACCAGAGGGTCTTCCTTTATTATCGTCATGATCGAATTCTGGTCACGACCAACTTTTTAAATTTTTCGAATTTCACTAGGCATGAACCGAGTCCAAGCGGCTCGGACTTGGGCCCAGCTAGAGCCTGAACGAGTCTAACCAAACTCGATCGAGCCCAAGCTATCTGGACACAATACATGCCTAAATCTTACATAACTTATTATGAGCGTTTAGCTTTAGATTCGATTTTTTTCTACTTCTCCGACGTTACAAACATTCGTCCTTAATGACACTTGTTTTATGTAATGTCACTTCATACTTGTTATCAAATCAGATACTTTAACAGTGGATGATTCGAATCGAGTACGACCAATAACAAGAACATATGGAAAGGAATTCATAGAATCTGATCTGTTAAAAGTTTCAAGTGATTTGCCATCAAGAATAACGAATTTCGATTTATTTGTCATCGAATTAAAATATTTCGTTATTTTATTTTTCTTGTCAAATAAACATAGTATAATCAATAGAATTTTCATGACCGTGACCGAAAAATACTGGTTATGCTGATGTCTAGTCTTCACTCACTTCACAGATATGGTTGACAGCTAAGTTGCTGCCGTCTCTATAATTTTTGTTATTCTTTCTAAACTTCAATTAACATTATTTTAATCTCTATTAAAAAAATCATTGAAATTTTTTCACCAAATTACTTTTTTATTTTTTATTGTTGATTAGACTAGCTTAATAAAAGGAAAACTTGAACTGTAATACATTATAAGATCACATATTTTCGTTGTATCCTTTAAATCATCGAAATAACTAACAGAAACTAATTTTAAGCTTGATTTCAAGAAAAAAAAATAAACCTATGTTTATCTTCAATAGGCAATAAATCAATGAAAACAGTGTTTTATACAGCGTTAGGTTCAAAATTTCCGGACTCGAACCAATCTGACGGACCGATGGAAGCTGTGTCTCTCCAAAAATTGAATTAGCCCTGTCAAAGTCTGTTGTTATTGTACCACATACTATGTTGTCTATACTTCTAAAAATAGGTGCTGCACCCTCTCGGATTTCTAAATCACCTCTCCGAAAGAGAAAATCTTAATGAAAATCGTTTTTTTGTTTTCATTTTTAGTCTGAAGAATATGTTATTAAACGTCGAAAATTAAATGATGATGGTATTTCAACAACATTATTCATTCCTTGTCCACCATTATTTACTGAATGATTTCAACCAATAATACATATTCTTGATAGTAATATATTTCTTACTTTACTTAAACCTTGTCTTTATCGATCAACAGATCCAAAAGCTCAATTATGGTCTGAACCTATTCTTAATCGAGTAAATATTAACAAAAAAAGACTAAAGTTTTCTTTTTTTTTATTTAATAAAACCATATTTTTATAATTCTATAGGCATTGCATTTAATAACTTTAGCTTGTTATGAACAAGAACGTGAATCAAATTTTGAATTTTATTCTAAATGTCAAAAATTTGAACTTGAGAAATTAATAAATCAATTACATTTAAATACACCATCAAAAGCAGAAACATGTAAAGAATTACTTGCTTATGTTATTAAAGTTTGTATATAAAAAAAACAAAACAAAAGCTTTTATTCTTATTCTTTATAAATTTTATTTTAGCTCTATAATAAATTTAATGAAACAAATGAACAATTAAATTCTTCGACAATTACTACAACTCAAGAGACATCAGATTTAACTAAACGTGCACAACGTAAACGAAAAGATTTAGCTGCACAAAAACGTGCTAAAATTATAGCACAAATGACTAAATTACAAAAAAATTTTATTGAAAAAAAATATTCAATTATGTTCGGATAATATAGATGAACAACAAATATCAAGTATAGAATCACCATCACCAGGAATATCTTCACAATTATCATCATCATTAATAA